TACCTTTTATGTCAATAAAATAATGGTGGATTTGATCAGGAATTTTTTTTACAACGCAAAATTGGAATTTTTAAAAATTTTAAAAAATATGATCCCCATATTTTTGTTTTCTCAGATTTCGTACCCCAAAATGTTGCACAAATCGGTGGATATGTTATAGATTTTTTACCTTTGTATAAATTAATATATTCATCAGGTGTATTAGGAATAGGTTCCTCACGAATTCCTCCAGAAATATCAACTATTAAACCATATTTTCGATAATCTGGATCCAGATTACTAAAAGGTGGATGGTCACTAGTCAATTCCCATAATAAAACACCCACACTATATACATCTGATTTTTTGCTTTGTTTATACGCTTGCTTATTGCCATACTTGAAACATTGTGGGTCAACATAAGGCAGCATCCCTGCTAAATAGAATGCTGAAGTAGTTGTAGATTCAAGTATTTTACGGGAAAGTCCAAAATCTACCAATTTTATTGTTTTTTGGTGAACCAAGAAATTGTTTGAATGCTTTTCAAAAAGATAAATATTATTAAATATAAATTTTTTTTAAAATAATAAATTTATGTAAGCTGCAATTATTTAATTACCAAATCTCGGTGGATAATATTGTTTTCATGTAGACATGAAACAGCTGATGCAATCTCATATGCAAATTTCAGCATTAGTTCCCAATTGATTGATTTGGACTTTTCTTGTAGGTAGCTTCTTAGTGTCCCACTATCTGCATACTCAAGGACCAATAAATATTTCTTATTGCCTTTATATAAATATAGTTGTTAGTAATGGAGAAAATCAAAATTGGAAATAATTTAAACATACCTTCATTTTTAGTGACACCATAGAAATGAATAATATTTTGATGGTAATCAACTTTATGTAATAATTTTAACTAATTGAGCCAATTATTATCATTAGTTGAAAGTTTTTTTAAATCCACAATCAAAAATATGTTGTAATTTACCTCATTAATAATTTCTTTCATGTTTGTTATATCACATTTATAGGATTTCAACGCAAAAGTACTGCTACTGTTATATGTTGCTTTGTAAACTTTTCCCGAACCACCTGAACCAATTTTTTGAGTATTTTTAAAGCTACTATAATTATAAAAATTAATGTATTCATTCTGAATTGCCTCATTAAGCCATTCTACACAATTATCCTTAGGTTTATCAATGGTTGCTTTGATTTCATTAATTATTCCATTGTTTGGCTCATCCTTTGTTTCTTTGCTATCTTGACTAATTGGAGGTGATGGTGATTTGGGTAATTGTGGTGAAGGAATTTCTTGCAGTTCTTCAATTTTAAATTTTTCATTATCATCACTTGAATCAATACTTGATTGAAATCCAAGTTGTGGTAATTGTTGCTGATGGTAAGGATCAGTAAGCAATCGTTGTTGTGAATTACTACTATTATTATTATTACTATCACTACCACTACTGCTACTACCGCCACCACCAATATTAATACTATTAAATTTATTCAGAGCAAATCTTCGAAGCTCACCAATAGCTGGCCTCCTAGTTGATGCCATTTGTACACAATAATTAGGTAATACTGATGGTTGTAAACCTAAGAGATAAAAAATAAATTTATTTAATTAGATAATGTGTTGTAAAAGTTTAGTTTATAATATAATACTTACTATCTGGTTATTATAAAAAAATTGTTTGATTAGATGATGTTTTAATAAAGTTGATTTTATGTTGTAAAAAGTTAATTAATTTATAATATAATACTTACATACTAAGAAATAAAAATAGAAATATTTAATTAGATAAAGTTATTTCGTGTGTTGTAAAAGTTAATTTTATAATATAATACTTACCATCTGGTAATTATAAAGAAATAAAATTAAAATTAAATTAGATGTTGTTTTATTTTGTGTTGTAAAAGTTAATTATAAATATAATACTTACACTCTAAGAAATAAAAAAATAAAATTATTTAATTAGATGATGTTTTAATAAAGTATATTTTGTGTTGTAAGTTAATTTATAATATAATACTTACTCCCTGGTTATTATTATAAAGAAATAAAAAATAAATTTATTTAAATTATATGATGTTTTAATAAAGTTTATATTGTGTTATAAAGTTAGTTTACTTACATGCTAAGGAATAAAAAATCAAATTATTTTAATTAGATGATGTTTTAATAAAGTTAATTTTGTGTTGTAAAAGTTAATTTATAATATAGTACTTACCAGCTGGTTATTATAAAGAAATAAAATAATATTTAATTAGATGATGTTTAATAAAGTTTATTTTACATTGTAAAAGTTAATTTATAATATAATAATACTTACACTCTAAGAAATAAAAAGTAAAAATATTTAATTTTAATAAAGTTTATTTTGTGTTGTAAAAGTTAATTTATAACATAATACTTACGATCTGGTTATAAAGAATAAAAATAAAAGTAATTGATTAGATGATGTTTTAATAAAGTCCATTTGTGTCATAAAAGTTAGTTTTTAGTAATAATATTTACCATCTGGTCATTTAAAGAAACAAAAAATAAAATTATTTAATTAGAAGTTGATTTAATAAAGTTGATTTTGTGTTGTTAATTTATAATATAATACTTACAACCTGGTCATTAAAAAAAAAAGGTTATTTAATTAGATGATATTTTAATAAGTTGATTTTGTGCATTGTAAAAGTTAATTTATAATATAATACTTACTCCCTAAGAAACAAAAAATAAAATTATTTAATTAGATGATGTTAATAAAGTTTATTTTGTGTTGTAAAAGTTAATTTATAATAATATAATACTTACATTCTGGTTATTATGAGAAGCAAAAAAGAAATTTATTTAATGAGATGACATTTATTTTGTGTTGTAAATGTTAATTTATAATATATTACTTACCAACTGGTTATCATAAAAAAAGGAAAGATAAATTTATTTAATTAGGTGATGTTTTAATAAAATTGATTTTGTTGTAAATTAATTTATAATATGATACTTACCAACTGGTTATTATAAAATAATAAAAAATTAAAGTAATAAAAATTCAATTCATTTAATTAGGTTATATGTTGTGAAAGTTGATTTATAATATAACGCTTACATGCTGGTTATTATGAAGAAAGAACAAATTGAATTAGATAAAGTCTATTCTGTGTTGCAAAAGTTAATTTATATTATAATACTTACGATCTATAAATAAAAGAATAAAATTATTTAATTAGATGATGTTGTTTTAATAAAGTTGATTTTGTGTTGCAAAAGCTTATAATATAATACTTACTCCCTGGTTATAAGAAATAAAAATAAATTTTATTTAATTAGATGATATTTTTACACAGTGAATCTCGATTTAGCGGATAGTTTGGGCAATTAGGGAAAATTTTCCAAAAATCCGTTAAACCGAGATATCCGCTATATCGAGAAGGTTTTTATTAAGGTTTATTATTATTATGGAACCGTTCTTTGAACTTTATCCGTAAAACGAGATTTTTTAATTAGTATCCGCTAAATCGAGGTCCACTAAATCGAGGTTCACTGTGTATTTGGTGTTGTAAATTAATTTGTAATATGATACTTACTAGCTGGTTATTATAAAGAAGCAAAAAATAAAATTATTTAATTAGATGATGCTTTATTAATAAAGTTTATTTTGCGTTGTAAAAGTTAATATATAATACTTACACACTGTTTATTAGAAAGAAACCAAAAATAAAATTATTTAATTAAGATGGTTAGATGATTAGATGATGTTTTAATAAAATTAATTATAAAGCAAAATATTAATTATTGCTTATATTTTAAAATATTTAATTATAAAAAAAAATACCTCCGTTCATTTTTTTATAAGGGAAATATCAAAAGCAAGGTAACTTTTTTGCTCCTATTATTATAGAAAAAAAAAGTACTCTGTGATTTTATTGTCAATTGCCATAACAATAATTCCTTAAAAAACTGGATTGACAATTTTTAAATGATATTTGCAAATTTGATTTATCTTATTATTAAAAAATTCAAATGACAAAAACTCGCAAGGTTTATCCCATTATTTCCAATCGACGAATCTGCACACGCTAACCAAATCTGAAAATTAAATGCTAAAATTAGACTAGTTTTATATTAAGGCACAGTCGAAGTAACACTACATTGCACAACATGCGTTATTTATGAATTGGGACAAAATTGTTGAAATCAACCAATCAAAACAAAGAATTGAAAACGAACGCGAGAATCAAATCCCAATTTTTTTTGAATTCGAAAATAAATGGTCAGGAGGGCTTGTTTACTTTGTGTAACTAGTTAAATTGTTTTTTACTTTGCACAAAAAAAAAAAGCCACCATCAATGTTTCTTTGGAAAGCAGTTAATAATTCCTTGAGAATCGAAAGCAAAGCCAGCAAATCATATGCATCCTTTTTACCAACTGAACTTTTAATAGAAATTTTTAGACACATTGAGGATGGCGATTATAGAACCCTTTACTCTTGCATTCTAGTTAATAAACAATGGCATGATATTAATATTCCAGAATTATGGAGAAATCCATTCTATACTATTAAAAGCATTAAAATATTAATTAATTGCATATTAGTAGAAGATAGTGATTTCTTAACAAGGAATGACATTGAATTAGACATTAAAAAATTAGACAAACCACCATTATATAATTATGCAAAGTTCGCTACAGAATTGAATTTTAACAAAATTAGATACCTTGTCAGTTATTTACAAGAAGTATTAAGTAACTTTATTTTAAACCATTCAACAACTATCAAAAAACTTATAACAGTTAAATCAGCATGTGGTTGGTTAATTAATCATCATAGGTTTGAAACTTGTTTTCAGAATCTTTATGAACTTAATTTTAGTTTTTCAAATAATCCTGAATTCCTTAATAAATTGGCACACGTTTGTAAAAATATCAAAGTTTTAACAATAGAATGTAACGGTTCTTATTTATATAACGTTGATGACGATTATAGTCTATCACAACTAATTAAGTCACAAAAGCAAATCAAACACTTGAGCATTAATGATAATTCACGCAATATGCACACCAATTTTTTAAATTTATCAGATGAACTCAAAAAGGCAATTTCCATTCATTCACAATCAATGGTTAGCTATTCTAGCATCAATGAAAATAATTTAGATTCTTTGATACCAAGATTCCAAAATTTAAAATCTTTATCATTAAAAAATTGCAATAACAAGTTGAATAATTTAAAATCTACTTTACTTCCAAATATTCAACAAGTATATTTAGAAATCAAATTTCACTCGTTAATATCAGATTTATCATCTTTCATTAAAATCAATGGATATACTCTTAAGGATTTGACATTTGGTGGTACTCTAAATGGTGAAGGATATTTGGGAGATCTAATTCAATCAATTGGCCAAAATTGTCAAAATTTAGAACATTTATCAACCTTATACAATGTCAGGATAAATCGAGAATTAATTGAATTATTTAATAAATGTAATAAATTAAAAAGCGTTAGATTTAATAAATGTTATTGGCTTGAAATATTGGATGGTGATGAGATATTAACAGTATTAAATCAATCGTTGCCAAAAAATTTAAAATCTATAATTTTTAAGGATAAAGTTACTATTTCTGATAATTCACTTGAAGTTTTAATGAAGAATTGGAATGGACCTATACCTTTTACGTTAAAATTTTATAGATGTAATATTAATGATAATAATAATAATAATAATAATTTATTAATTAATTTATTGAGAAAATATAAAAACCACGGATTTATAAATTATGAATATTTATAATAAAAGGTTAGTTTGTCAATATTAGAAATTAATTAAGACAACAATTGTTATTAATATAATGACTAATTAATAAGCTTATATTGTAATATTTACAAATCTGCGATATGACGATAAGAAAGTGAAGCGAATATAATAGAGGAATGTTTAAAAAATACTTGTAATAAATAAACCTCACATCTCAATTAATTCAATAAATCAATTGACTATTAACCAACTCGGAAAAGGTGGATTGAATTGAGCGAGTGTGAGAATCAGAATTAGAACGGAAGAAAAAAAATGGAAGAAATTATTTTCTGAATAACAAGATATAAAATTAAATGAATATAATAACAATTAAAAAATAAAATATTATCATTATTTCAATTTTTTTACCACCAATAGACGCTTCATATTCGGATCAAGTTTTCCCCCATATATCGTTCATAAAATTTTTTTTTTTGCTGAATTCACCCATTTAAAAGAAGATAATTATTTAATTTTCATGATGTTTGGCAATTTCAAAGTCTCTCTTTCTCGGAAATTTCTTGCAAAAATCCAAGATCTTTCTTCCTGTGTGAACGATGCAAGAGTTTCTCAAACGATGATCAGTAAAAGAACTTTTTTAATTGCTAATTTTTTAAAGCTAATGTTTATTCATCCCTAAACAATGTGCTTAAACATTAAGAGTGTTTTACTAATAAGAAAAATTTTAATAAAAAGAAAAATTTTAATAAAAAGAAAAAGATGTACATCTTGGATAACATGGATAGCGCTTCGTCAAAATGTAGACCTGGTTTTATTTCTTGGCCTATTTCTTTAATGAGACGTTCAAATGGTGGTTGAGCAATGCAATTTTTGCAACCTATGAATGATAACTAAAAGAATTAATTCAACAATTTAAATTATACAGTATTGTCTTGAATCGCTTGTTTTTTCTTCCATAACAAAAATGCTTGCATCATTATCGTCATTTTTTCTTTTGTGTGAACTTTTAGGTGAGTCAGTATCTAATTGCGTCAAGTCATCATCTGATGCAGTTGTAACTCCTTCTGATTAAACTTGATTTGGATTGCCCTCCTCTTCTAAAACATTATGCTCAATAAATATTGTATGTCATCGATCGATCGATCGAAATTTTTCTTTTCGGATATTTTCAACATATATAAATAGCCTCTTATTTATTTACCCAATGTCATCATCGTAATGTTATGTTTTTATTATAGTAATAGTGAAAAATGCAATAAAAAATTTAAATAAACAAATAGACAGTTTGGGCCGACAGATCACCGCTTTTTCTTTTCATGTAGGTGGCTGTTTTAAAGAAAATTACAGTGAATTGTCGCAAAGACATCTACGACACTCCAATCTAATATAATATGATTTTATTATCTATTGTTATCAACATTTCTGTTAATATTGTCACTATTATCACCATTGTTATTATTATTATAATAATTATTAATATTGTTGTTTTTATTATGGTTACTTTTATTTTTTTTCATACTAATACGTTTGTTAATACCAAAACGTACTTTCTGTGCTTATAACCCCTGAAAACGTGAATAGACCTGTCGCTCGCTAATAGATTTTGGGATTTGTCACGTGCACAGCGTGCCATGTACCACAAGTTAAAGCCATATATTTTTACAGTACAGACGAAAGCCCAATTGCTTAATTAGTCAATTAATCAGATTTATTAAAATTCGAGATTCAACAAACAAAAACTAATAAACCCTTCACTCAAAATCAAAATCTAAATATCCAGCATAAAAATAATAATTCAAGATTCAGATCCATTAATTAAGGATTTATTATTAATTTCACTCTTTAATAGTTATTTCAATAGTTTCAGACTCTGATTTGTTCCAAAGCTTCATGCTTCAATTACCTTATTATTATCATTATCCCTAGTACCAATGCCAAAGGAGGAAGACAATTCAACGATGCGATTACATGCGCTGTTATATGAATTTGTAGTTATTGAATTGAATTTCATGGTTCTAGGACATACCAAATTCAAATATGATGGTAACCTTGGATTGATTAAGGAATTACAAAGGAGAGGTGTAGATTATTTAAAAGATCTAGTATTGCAGGAATATTCTTGAGGCTGGGGATGTATTATAAAATTTCAACATTTTCTTTCGAAGCTTCTGATTCAGAAAAATCAGAAATTTCTACTATCATAAAAGATATTAAAGCTTTATCATTTCAAACATTTGACACCAACTCTTATGAATAATAATACCTTTTGTAATAATATTATTCGTTAATAAAAAAACGGTTTGATCATAATCGCAGTTAATGTGGCGTAAAAAAATACTGCGGTGTATAAAAAAATTTTTTTTTTTAAGTTGTGAAACGACTGATTTTTTATAGATAAAAATTTTTTAGAATATTAAATAAATTAGAGCAGGGAAAAATTGTTCTAATAATAAAGACGACCTTTAATAATAACAATATTATCACTATAAATATAAATTGTTTCAAGTTCCTTCTCCATTTATTGTTATTTTATTGATTTAATTAAAAAGACGTCTCAAAATGGTAAAAATTATATTTATACTTTTTATATTTGTATTAAAAAAAATTTTTTTTTTTTTAAAGAGGCAAATTTTTCTGAAAAATTTTTGTACTAATATTTAATATTCTGATTCTTTAATAAATGTTAGGTAAACTTTACCGTTGATCAAATTCGTGAGCTTGTAAGTATATTGTTAAAGGAAAAAATTTTTAAGCATTTAAGCATTTGTCAAAAAAGAATATTCCTATATTTAAATATATTGTATATTATATAAATGTATATATAGATGAACCATGTTGCCAATGTACGTAACATGTCAGTTATTGCACATGTAGACCATGGAAAATCCACCTTAACAGATTCTTTAGTATCAAAGGCTGGTATTATTTCTTCGGCAAAAGCTGGTGAAGCAAGATTTACTGACACCAGAGCAGATGAGCAGGAACGTTGCATCACCATTAAATCTACTGCCATCTCAATGTACTTTGAATTAGCAAAAGATTCTCTTTCTGACATCAAACAAAAAACAGACGGTATATAAATTTAATTAATAATAATCATTATTAGAAATAATGTTTTAATAATTTTATTAAAAAAATACTTTTATAATATATTTTAATCATAATCATCATAATCATCATAATCATCATAATCATCATAATCATCATAATCATCATAATCATCATAATCATCAT